GAAGAGATGTAGACCAAAGTGTATTTCCCAGTCCGGTTAGTAGGTAAATTGCCGATCAGAGGAAAGAGTCTAAAATGAGTGAAGAGATGTAGACCCAAGTGTATTTCCCAGTCCGGTTAGTAGGTAAACAAAGATAAATAGAAGAGCCACAGTAAAAAAAAAATAATAAAAAAAAAATTTTAAAAATAGGCCAGTATTAAAAAGGCAGATCAAAATGTGAGAGAGAATAGGTGTCTCAGGACTTGATTTCTGTCCCCTGTTTCTCCCCCAAACTCCTAGGGTATTTGTCAAAGTAACCCCAGTGAGAGACTGGGTAGGTGCTGGGTTTTGTGAAGGAGCACTTCCTCCCAGCATAACTGTGGTGTCAATTTTTACAAGAATATCTCAGCGTAACAGAGGCCAAAGACACTCTAGCATAACAAGGAAACTATGAAAGGCAGAGCCAGGGTACTGTGAACTGGCAGTTGGGTGACTCTCCTGGCAGCTCTAACCACTGGGTGAGGGTTCTGTGAACTAGCAGTTGGGGGAGTCCTCTGCCAGCTTCAACCACTAGGTTAGGGTTCTGTGAACTGGCAGTTGGGGGACTCCCAGGCAGTTCTAACCACTAGGCAGTAGGGACAGGCTGAAGGAGGTCATCCAAGCCCACTCCTGACCACTGCGTGAGCTTTTGGAGAATTTCTTGTGAATACTGAGAGCTGATTAGGACAAGCATTTGTCTTTTAATATGAAAAGCACTTTTTTTTTTTTAAGAAAATTTCACCTACTTGCCATATTTAAAATTCCTTCACAAAACTACCTTCTTTGTCTCTTTTTCCTGTTTACTATTATTTTTCCTTGATTTTCTTGTAATTCTACTTTTGGAACCAACCTTAACCTCTGATTGAGACAAAAATTAGTATCTTAATGAGCCCATTTTGTGGGCCAGCAAGTGACATAGTGACCAAGGAACTGGACTCTCCCATATTCAACTGTGACTCGAGTCCTGGACCCAGCAGCCTGAAACATACCTGGCATGTGGGTATGCACGCCCCAATTCCTGAGAGGAGAATGGAGAAGGGACCACAGCTTGGCCATCTCCCCTGGGGGATGATTTCCCACCCCCTCTCTCTGTCTCTGTCTCTGTCTTCTATCCAGTGCCCTGTATAGCAAAAAACTCTCTTGGAAAACACACACACACACACACACACACACACACACACACACATTTATATGTCAATTTGGGTTACCTTAGGCTTGTCTAGTGAGATTTTTCAGATATCCAAATGGAGATGTTAGGACCTCAGATCCTATCAATTCTCAATTTTAGAAGCCAGCAGGGACTCAGAAGTTCTGTTTTTTTTTTTTTTTTTTTTTTTTTTTTTTTTTTTTTTTTTCTTTAGTGTGCTCACCAGACAGACAGAGAGAGACAGAGAGACAGAAAGTGAGAAATCACCCCCCAGGGGGGATGGCCACACCACAATCCCCTCTCCTCCATTCTCCTCTTGGGATCTTGGGCACGTACGCACATGCACCCAGAGTGAGTTTAAGCCACCGGGTCCGGGACGCGAACCACGGTCGACTACGTGGGAGTCCAGCGACACAGCCATTATGCTAACTGCTGGATTGTTTTTGTTTGTTTTGTTTCGTTTTTTTTCTTTTGTTGTTGTTGTTTTTGTTTGTTTGTTTGTTATCCCGAGCTTGGGACATTCTTCTTTCCAACAGCCAACTCCTTTATGTTGGGGACAGACCCTAGTAGGGACAGGAGGATGTCTGTTACGGGCATTGTCCAGTGCCCAAGTCTCCCACATTAGAAACATTTAGGGTTTTTCTTGGTTTTTATTTTGCAGAGGCTCTGACCTGGGCTTTTCCAGATCTTGCCTTTCAGTGGAACTTAAGTTCCCAGCCTTTAGGATTACCATAGTGACTCAGGTGTTTAGACCACAAGCAACCAGGCCTTTTTTGTTTGTCTTGTTAAGTTAAATCAAAGGTTAAGGTAAATTGTCAAATTAATTATAGCATTTTATCTAAACTTCCTATACGTCTTCTGATCTGTGAGAGAGAGGTTGCCCTGAGAAGAGAACCTAAACTCCGGCAGATCCTATTATTTTTGGTTTTATCTCCTGTAAGGAGCAGCTGAGTACCTCCCAGAAGGTAAAGTCCTGTCTTTTTCCCTAGGCCTTTGGTGTGTGGCGATGAGAGGAAGCTGCCCTTCTCCTGAGAACTTTTTCAGCCCTTGTACTTCATGTTTGGACAAAGCCATGACAAAATGTGCTTCACCTGCTCTCTAAAGAGACTTTCAGCACGAAGGTGCCTCATCTGTGATGAGGATGGCAAAGATTTGCTCCCTCATGTCTCCTGTAACTTCTTGCCTTGAGCAAGGTGGCTGTTTCTTCTAAGTCCTGCTGTCCCCAAGGCTATGTCCCCTCCACCAGGCTCTCCTGCTTTGGACACCAGAGGGCTCATTCACCTTTCATCTGGTTTGAATTTCTTAATGAGACACGTCAAGAAGGCATGCTTAGGGATGCAGGTCTCCTGTGTCTAATCCAGGAAGACCCTTGTGTCATCCAACTGGACATGAAGCAAGAGGGAAACTACCACATCCCCACCGGAGGCATTCTGGGCAGGAGGCAGTGAGGCCTGGCCAGGCAGATTATGAGAGGCAAAGAACATGTCTACTGGACAGCCATGAGCCTGGCTCTTCTCCCTGATCCCTAAATTAAACTTCAGCTCTGCCAAACATGATCTTTGAGGTCTGATGACTAAGGATCTTGGGTTTCTGATATTCCCAGAGAGGCCTTTCTGTGGTCTGAGTGCTTTCTACTTTACTCATGTTCCTGTCCATCACTGGAGAATCTTCTGACCCACAGGTTGTCAATATGTTACTGCTTTGTGATGGATGAGCACAGAGCTCCTTTGCTGTGAATATTTCCCTAGACATGTTGGATAACAAAAGGTATCCGAAATTCTTTGGCTTTTGGCCTTAAGGCCTTTACACTGTATTGGTGGAACAATTTTTCTTATCCTGTGGTTCAGGTTCAGCCTTGTGGGCTGCTCTGGGCTGTGACTATTGGCTAGAACTTTCACTTTCTGACTATGTGCCCATGATGCTGTGTGTGCAAGGCAGAAAAGGCTGTCTGCTCTCTTAAGCTCTCTGAATGTTCTCTGAATGCTCATGGCTAATATTAGAGGCTGGGTGTTCATGACTCCCTGTCTTCCCTTTTGTACAACTGAGGTGGAATGGAGAACATCATCTAAATGGGAACAGCATTTGTTCTTCCTACCTTCTCTCTAAAGGGATCATTAGCACCTTCTCTAAGGTGCATGAAGATGCAAGAATTGGAATCTACCTCAGAAATAAGATTTCTAAACAGAAAAAATTGGAATGTAAGTGGGGGTGTAATAGGTCCTCTGTCTCATTAAAGATCTGAATAAATTCAATGACCTTGGGGAAAAGACCTGCATCATGTTCATATGAAATCATTTAATATGAGCTTCCAACAGATCTTGTTTGCTGTTAGGAATAAAGGAAATCTGTTCAGAGGTATTCAGGTTTTGGTCCCCACCCAAAGATGGTGCCAAATGTCTGTGGGTCATTTGGCAGATTTTTCAGGAAGAAGCAATACGTACTTGACAGAATACCATGAACTATTCATAGTGATGAGTATTTGATCCTCACTCATTTCAAATTTCTTGCTCAGAAGTACTTCCAGGACTTTTCAAGTTCTTTCTGATTTTCACTTACCAACAAGGCTTGTTAGTTATTTTTTGAAAGACTTATATCTTAGATCTTTCAAATTCAGACACAAGAGTGCTGTCCGAAGATGTTTCTGAGTCACTCAGCAGATAATCATTTGTACCTTTTTCTAGACTCTGTCCATGACTCTTTTCCCCAGCATCCCCTAAATACAGGCTCCCCTAAGAGAAGCATTTCTCTATTCCTCCCCTGGAAAATTCCATTTGGCCCAATCCCCAAGTACCTAGTTCTTTGTTTCTCTGACCCTTAAGGAAACCCACAAGAATCCTTAACTTCTCTTTGACTCAGATGTCTCAGTAGTTTCCGTCTGAGGATTCATCACTGACAGAGACTCATGGGCCCTGTAGGGCAGGCCCACCAGTATTGGATGAGTCTCTTTTGAAGATGGTGCTGCAGTTTCTTCTGAAGCTCACTGCTCAGAGGGAATTCTCCAGGAAGAATGGAGATAGAGACATGGGACTTAGAGGACTAGCTGACCAATGAAAAGTTGAGCGTTGAAAATTCTTTCCGAAATCTTTGGAACACAGAGGGTAAACTCCATGTACTTTTCTGTTCTTTCTTCAACATGTTACATTCAGGAGGTGAATTTCAGATGGTAAAAGAGACCTTGGCTCATTTCCGGGGTCTACAAAAGCATACTCCACAGATTCTAATCTAGGACACAGAAGAAGGGGGCAGGATTTGGACTTGAGGGTTGAAGTGGGCCTTTGACAGGGCCTGAGTAAGATGTTTGGACTCATATTGGGGCAGAGTTTTGGGACAGGTTGGATTTCAAGCATGGACCAAGGTTGGTGACGGGGAAGGACAGAGGGGCTTCTTTGGCTATGGAAGCCTGGGAGATTCTGTAGAAGAGGGTTGTTGAGGAGCTTCACCTGAGATAGGAAAAGTAGGGTGCACAGACTCACTGTGTAGAGATGGGAGATTGCAAAGGAGCTGAATACATTTTTTTCCCTAAATGGTGTTTGGAAGTCTTAAGATATTGGAGTTGCTGATGCACATGCAGCTGCTTTGTTTTGCCTTTGCTACTAAAACAGGAGAGGAGGCTGCCAAGGTATTTTCCCTGAAGAATTCAGTTGGAAGTGGGGGCCAAGTTGTTTTGAGAAATACCTCATTTCTTTTTCCTTCTCTTTCTACATCAAGATATTGTCTTTCTTTTGGATTTATCTCTTTAGACGTACCAGGTCTTCAGGGCTCAGAAAGGAGAGATTACCCAGCTTTGCAATATTGGCTACAATGGCCTTTCCAAAACTGGCCTCAGAAGAATGGTAGGTAAGAAGTTCCCACTCGAGTTCACTTTGTGCCAAGTTGGAAGAAAGTGAGCACTTGGCAGGAGGTAAGGACACCTGTGAAATTGTGCTATTTGACTGGTTAAGATCTCTTAATGCTGGGACAGACGTGGACAACCCTGCAGGGCCAATGAGGCAAAGTGACTTCCGGTTAGAGAACAAAATCTATTCTCTAGCTTTGATGTGAAGAGATTCAGGCCAAGCAAGTGGTGAAAACGGGACAAAGTCTGCTGGGAATTTGGAATCTAAGGGCAGCACAGGTTGGGTGGCACAGCATCACCCAGTGCTGAGGGTGAAAGTGAGTGAGCCAAGAGGTTCATCAGACTGGTAGGTTGGAGGCTGGAAGTTGATAAGTCTCAGACAGAGGGTCTGTTGTTAGATCTCCTGAAGGGCTTGATGACAGTATTGAGGGCAGATAAATGGATGACTCAGTCACCAAAACTGTGAAAGTCAACAGGGACACAAAGGGAGCAATCTCTTCCATGGACACGTGGTCCAGCAGGTGATTGACCTCAGCTGTCGATCTGTTACACACCTCACAGAGGGGGTCTGGGCACAACAGCTGATGAAAGTGGATCGAATCATGATGCTGGCCCAGGGAGCTACAGGAGACAGGAAGTACAAAGCTGCAGCCAGGAACAGAGCAGGCAAAGGAGGGCCTGCTGGACTAGGGGGTCAGTCACCTGAGCCTGCTACCCTTCCACGTGGCCCCACACCGTGACTTCATAATTCACTCTCTGGCCTCTCTGCATGGCCTTCATGTACATTCCCATTCCTATGGCTTCCTCCTCCCATGATAGCTGCAGCTGCAATGAATCACAGGATTGTATAGAAATTGCTAAAAAGAGGACCAGGAAGAAAGGGGAACAACTAGAATAAGAAGTAGCCTCCTTCCCTCTGCTTCTTCTCTCCAGCCAGCTCTCTAACCTGGGAAATCTGGAGAGGTGATTATATGGAATGAAGGTAGGGACATAGTGATCTTATAGGGGCCCCTCAAAGAAAAACCCTGGGAATATTAAACTCTAAAATCTCCATGAATCAATAGTCAAGGTCAAATGGTCAATAATAATGTTGACAAGGTTCATGAGTGTATGTGGTTTCATTAAAGTACTTTCATAAACATTAACCCATATGATTCTCAAAATCACCAAGAAGTCTATAGTTACCTCGTGGAGATATCTTAGCACTCAGGAAGTTACAGTACTCATAGGATATAGAAATTCTAACTATAAATCAACCAATAGTCCTTTCTCAACATTTCTCATGACCTACTGGACAGCACCCATTGCCCTGGTCCTACATGCCACTGAGATATATATCAGATCTGACTGCCTTCCTGTGATCGATTCCTCTGAGGACTCTGCTTCCTGGGAGAGATGGGAACCAACAACTTAGATCATCTGTGATCATGGGCCTGGGATCCCATGGAAGACACAAGATGGATCACCCAGAGGAGCCCCGGTAAAACAGATAGAACCTTCCTTGAGATGTCTCACCCTCCCTTCTCCTCATGCTTAAGAAATGAGGAGTATGACAGAATGATGGGACTATCTTCTTTCAATAACCAAGAATAATGTGAATCTCCATTTTACTTAAAATAAATGTATTTCTTCCTTTATTAATTTTTAAAGACGATAAAGTATTTCCAATTTTTCCTTACTTAAAAACTCAAGAAAAGATTTTATCATTGAAATCCATACTTACTATTATCAGTCAGAAGTCCCCTGCTCAAGGAGGACATAGAACCTGGAGCCAGTGGTCACATCCCTTAGAGGACCCTGTATTTGGGGGACAGAGCTCGAGGTCCAGCCCCTGCTCAGAGACTCTCAGAAGCTCCACATCAATCTCTGATCAGCCCAATAGGAGGAAAGGCTTGATCAAATGACACCTGACATGGTCATGTGACTCATGATCAAGTATCAGGAGAGACTGTTCTCTTCAGAGAACCCACATTCTTCATTAGGTCAATCCAGGACCATAGAATCACTGTTGGGGATTTTATCCTGGACTCCTTGACCACGTCCAGACAGTCTGCAAGCCTCTGAGGGAAACCTTAGCTCTCCCCAAATTCCTCATCTCTTCCTCTAAAAAATTAATTTTCTTTCCTCTCCTCCCACTTCCCGTCTCAGGAGTACCCCTGAGCTAACCAAAGTCATTTAGAAATGTGGCTAGAAACATGGTAAACAACAATAGCAGCAGAAAATAATCCCTCTTAGGGGTTCACCCACGGTTTTTTATCTTTGGATGCATCTACTTGCCTCCAGGATTTGTACTAATTATGCCAAAACCAAGCAGCACAAATACAGAAGGAGTAATCCAACACACTAGGAAAAATGAGGTTGGCGTCAACAGCTAAGACAGCTGAGCCCAAGTTGAGGCCTGGGTCAGTATAGCTCTTTAGATAAGAGAATATTCATTGT